TCACTACTTTGCACTCCCTAAGGATTAACTGTAATTAATGTATCAGTATTGTTTTATTTCTTTCCTCCCCTCTCACTCTGCCCTTGGTTTGATTTGCCGGCATATTGCTGCGTTGTAAATAGACACTTGAGTAAAACGCTGCCTGTTGCTTCTCGCCCATTAACAAAGCCATTGATCCACACTGCTGCCATCAGTTTTGACAAAAGGACACGCAAGGATGAGTCACATCTGTTCTTCTATATATCTCACTCAGTAGTGATGTGTGACTGACACGACCTATTTAAATCCCCACATGTACATCGTGCCTCACTGTAGCAGTTGACGTTGTCTTGCACTATTTACATGCGACGAACGCCTGAACAACCTTTTCTCCTTTTATTTTTAAATACTGTTGAGACATTTGTGAAGATTTTATGTCCTTTTTTTTTTTTTTTTTTTGGTTTTTGTTAATGTTTATTTCCTTTTTTATGAGCTGTGACAATGTTATGATGATGTGTATATCCTTCCTATTCATTGAGCTCTCTAGTAATCAGGTATGCTTTCTCCACCGACCCTCTCTGCTCTCCTTAGGGAACGCGAGTAGGGTGTCTTATCTTTATAAATCCACTCTGATTGTTTTGCTCCCTCTTTGTACCTTAGCACAGCTCCATGCCCAGGCCCCAGAAATACCTTAGCCCTTAGCTTCCTCCCTGGCCATGAATTTTAAATCTCCCTAAGCCTGTCCGTCACCCTAATACCTCCCTCCCTAAACCGCCCAACCTCAGACTTTACCTACACTATATTATTCAAGCTGTGTCTTTTAAACCCCTTTGCTCAACCACTTTGTATAGTTTTCCTACCCTTGTCACTGCAGCTATAGTGCCATTTGTGGACCCCCCTACCTCTGTATTGGAAAGGGTGGAAGGCCCACTTTTCTCTGCTTTTTTTGGATGAACAAGGGATGAGGGTCAGTGAGCTTAGCCGTTTTTTTCTCTCTCTGAAGGCCAGGCTAACGTGTGGCTATGAATGAGATTTGTTACATCCCAAACACAAGTGAAATCTGTCGGCAGTGAGATGATTTACTTCAACAATCATGCTGTTTCACACATGTTGAGCACTTAGTAGATTCAGATGCAGCTCCCCTCACTCTCTGTCCCATTAGTGAAGATCTCATCACTTTATCATATATGTTGAAATGACATTTTTAAAGCAAGAGGGAAGCAAGTAAATAGGAAGTATGAATTAAGTCCTCAGATCAAGGTCTCTTGTTCCATTTGTTGCCCCCCTACATGTTTTTTTTTTTTTTTTCATTTTTAACTTTTTTCCAGTGGAAACCAATGTGTCCAGTTTGATTTCTCTCCTGAATGGCATTAGTATTGTAGTAGATTTAAAGGGTAGCTTTTTTGTAAAGTGTGAATAAAAGATGTATCTCATGTTTCCTTTCTAAAAAGATATTGAATTGTGTTGTTGATGTGTAAATCATGAATTCTATGATGGTGTTATGTTTGCGACATTGTTTTTACTCAATATTACTTTCCCCATTTACTCATCCCATCACAAACCAAATCCTCTGTAGAAATCATGATACATTGTCTTGATGGGTTGATTAGAGAAGTTGAATGTTCCTGATGATGCCTCGCAGAATGAAGGATTGAGTGCTCATTGGCGGAAAAGAACCTGCATCATTGGTATCGGTCAAAACTTTCAGCACAGGGATATTCAGTTTCTTATTTTACTCTTTCAGCTTTATTTGGATGTTGTATGGCACTAGCTGGAGAGCACTAGTGCCTGTAGGTTAGGGCAGCAGAGCTGTCTTACTCGTGGCTGCAGTTCAGTGCTAGAGAACACCGTTTCGACGGGTGTGAAACGTGTTTGTAAGACTAAGCTACTGATGTGCCACTAGACTGGTCCTGTAATGATTTTTGAGTACTACTAGTCCATCTCATTCTGTTCTTGTGCATCACAGTGGTTAAACCTGTTAAACTAGCTAGCTACTATTGATAGTCACTTATTTGACTCCTAAATCTTTTTGGTTATCGACACCCCCTGCCCCCCCCCTTCCTCTCCGTCACTTCTTGGTAAACCACAGACTGCTTTTGACTGAAAATCTGTCAAATCAGAGCTGAGTTATGGCACCCTGTAAGCTCCAGTGAGCGATCACATTGTTGGCTTTGTACTTTTTTCACTGTTGCATTGTGTTTCATAGTTGGCTCGTTAGGCGTAGAATGATTTCCCAGGCTGCATCTCTTTGTAATGGTGCGCACCAAAGCTGCTTGTAGTTCAGTTCTCTGTTGTAGAGCGAATTCGTACACCAACTAGTCATATTTCCTATCCATATCATAGTCTTCATGAAATGTAGGGCTGTAAGGAAAGCAAGGTACTTTCGTCCTTTTCCTTGAATCACATGAACACCCATGTTCATACTCGTCACCGTTGTTGGAGTTTGGTTTCTCAATTCATCAACTCATTTCAAATGCGTCCTTTTTTTTTTTCCCCCCCAAAAAAACTTGGCAATAATACCCAGAAACATTCAGACACATTCAGATTCTTTCAAAAGTTTATCTGGAAAATGTAGCTATTTCATATTTCAAACTGTGGTTGTTTATTTTTTAAATTCTCCCTTCTTAAACCTTCCAGACTGTTTCTTTACCTGAACACCCTTTTTACGCTTTTTTTTTTTTTTTTGGTTCTTCCCTTTTTATCATCCATCTTGTATATTTGCTCATCTACTTCTCCCTGCCAATTTAGTGGTAGTTGTTCAATGATCAGGATCGTCTATCTGTAGTCAGCTGAGTACATATATTGATCTGTGTCACTGTGTTTATGCACTGGACCAACTATTGTTTACCATTCATGAAATACCAGCAAAAAAAAAAAAGAAAAGAAAAAAAAAAGAATAATGACAAAGCACTTGCACAATGTTGTAGAATGTCCATTAACCCAGATGAGAAATCAAGGCAGCTGTTTTCAAATCAACACATACTGTTTTAAAATGAAACTGAATGGTAAACAATGCTTTCTGTTGTACCCCTTAGCCGTCCTCTCGATTCTCTTTGGACTAGTTTTATTCTTTTATTTTTTCTTTTTGACTACAGGTTCTGCTTGTTTCCTTTACACCTACCTATGTATTTTCCTACTTCTGGTTGAAAATAAATTCTGTATTATCTGTTTCAAGCTGTGTCACCTCTTATTCTTTGCAATGGATATTGAAAATAAATTCTATATCTGTTCTCCTTGTCTAGCCTGCTTTTTCTTTATTTTATTTCCTCCCAGTCTTTCATAAGCTTTGTTTAACACTTGACACTATATGTGGTGATTGTGGGAGTTATTTTTGACTATTTCTCTGCTCATTTTTCCTCTTTTCAGTGACCTTATCAGATACTTTAGATGTAGCAAACATGTGAAAGCATGCGGATCACCGGCTTCGTTGACAAATGTGTCTGCTGTCTGCCTTGCTAAACAACAGTGTGAGTTTGTTTTTAACTAGATTCAGGAGCATTATGTGGCGACTGTTAAAGCGGCAAGTGTGTCAAACAGCTGGTGGAGGCTGGATGATGAAGCCCAAGAGTACGTAAGTTTGCTGTTTGTTTATTTCCAACCAAACATCGCAGCAGCGTCATTAGAACATCTGAATATCACTAACTGTTGGTTTGAAATCTTTGTAGTCACACGGTTCTCTGTGACACACTTTTCCCAGACTGCTGGGTCATAGGGACCACCTTGGTTGAAGCCTCTGTGTCAGCAAGTACACTCACCCCCTCCTCCCCCCCTCCCCCCCGAAGTGTCCTTTAGTAAGACACTAAACCATTATTGGCACCGCGGGTGCTGTTTTGTAGCTGAGCCTGACCTTTGATTTTCCTCCAGAACAGCAAATGAAAAGAGAATTTCCCATTGGGGATCAATAAAGTTTAACATTAACATTTAATACCCTAAATAGGCTAAGGATGACAGTTTGTGTATTATCATTTGTGAGCACATGGTGGAGCCAAAGGATCACCTCAAGATAAACGTTGATCACCCATCTGTCCATGCACTCTACTGACAGTGATCAGGATTTATGATGCCAGGTCTGAAACAGCCGAGAGTAGTCTTCTGTATCATCTGTCCAATAAAAACATACATACATTTTAAATTACGAAGAAAAAAGTTGAGGGCTGAAACTTAAAAGGAAAACCTAACGAAGAACATATGAACCCTAACAAAAAATGAAATAAGCATATAAAAATGTGTAAACCATCATTTATCATGTCATCACTACTATAATTTTCATTTCAAAATGACCTTTTCTTCAAAAGCATGTGATCATTTCTGAATGTTTCATTTTTAAAATTTGACTTTGGCCCATTTACTTTAACAGTGCTGACTCTCTTTTCAGTCACATCTCATACCATAAGCCAACATTGAACACCTGCTACCAAAGTTATTCTGTAAGCTACAGTAGAGAGCAACTTCCAAGAATTATTAGAGGCAGCTGATGTAGAAAAACATGGCATGCAATCAACTTCTTTTCTAAACCAAGTCTAGACGTGCTGCATAGCTAACTATCTAGTTCAGCTTGAAGTGAGTCCATGACTGAGTCTGTCATGGTGGCAACCTAAGAACCTGTTGGTGGAAACTTTTGGTGAAAGAATCCATCAGAATGGACATCTTTTGGGCTTGGCTGGGTCATGAAGCAGCGTCCAGGTACCGTCGTGCCAAAAAGGCTGCGGCAGTGGCAGATGCATAAAGTCGGGTGTTGGTGGAGTTCTGGGCCGTAATGGAGAAGGATTTCTGGTTTGCTGGCAAACTGTTGAATATTTGAGAAAGGACTTGGTCCAGGCTGTGTTGAGATGGGACAGCTGATCTGAACTGAGGATGGTATTGGGCGGTAGACAGAGCACGTTGAGGAACTCCTCAACCCAACCAATACGTCCTCTGTGGAGGAAGCAGAGCGTGAAGACATGGGAGAAGCCTTGCCCATATCCTTGGTGGAGGTCGATGAGGTAGTTTAGAGATACGAGAGTTACAAGATATGCCCTAAGATGCTGGCGGCGCTGGACGTTGTTGAATTTCAGTATTATGGTATTTTGGTCACCAATGACAGCATGGCACTGGATCGTCAAGGTGAAGAGGCAGCTGAGCTAGAGGGCAAAGTTCTTGATTTACCAGTTGGTCTACATTTCAGTCCTCAGCCATGGTCTTGAGCTCTGGACAGTGACTGAAAGAATGAGACTGTCGATACAAGTGACTAAAAGGAGTTTTTTCTGTATGGTGGCTCAGCTCAGCCTGAGAGGTAGGGTGTGGAGTTCGGATATCTGAGGGTAGTTTGAAGTAGAGCTGCTGTTCCTTTGTGCCACAAGAAGCCAGCTGAGCTGGTTTGGGCATCTCATTAGGAGGCCTCCTGGTTGACTTCTGAGTATGTCTGGGTAAGGGTTGACCAAAGGGTAGCCCCAGAAGGATTACATATCTTATGTGGCCTGGGAATGCTCTGGGATCCACTAGGAGGAACTGAAAGCATTGCTGGGGAGAAGAGGACATGTGGAAAGAAGATGAAAATGGATTGATGTACAGTGTGTTAGCCCTGTTAGCATGCTCACATTGGCATTACTCTAAATAGACACAGCTTGTCTTTTTGTTCTTCACTGAGTTGCATGTCTCTAAGGAACATTAGATTCGACGTGTAAAATGAGCAACTTCAAAGTAATCAGTCAAAGTTGGTGCAATCTCTTCACTTTGATGGTGGCTAATAAACCAAGCTAACAAATCTGCCAAGCTTGTTTGCTAGCTAGCTAGCTTGGTAGCATGTGCAGCCTTGTTAGGGTTAGCAAATAAAAAACTGTTTATGTCTGTTTAGTTCCAACTGACTTCACTTCATCACTGTACATGTAGCGAACAGGAATTAACTCGCTAAATCTGCACTAGTTGTAGATCTTGTCAGCTTAAGATAGACTGAAAGGTGACAAGACAGTGATTATGGAAAATGACATGATCAAATAAGACGTAGAGCTTTGAAATAAAAATGCACAGCACATAATGACTTTGAAACTCAATAAAATAAGAATAGAATGACATTTAAAGTAGGCTACTGAGTTAAGCTTTAATAATTTATGAAATTCTCAAATGATTTTTTAAATTTATATGTATTTTACACAATAAATTACTGTGATGACTTATTCCATATTGAAGACTTTATGGTTCTGTAAGAGCAAAGTCATAGCAGCTGCTAAAATTATACTCCAAGGCTTAATTAAAAGCCAATAGACTACATAGAGCCTTTGTTCTGAGAAGGTAAACAAAATGTACTTTTAATGCTTATATACCAATTACAGATGTTTATAATTACAAAGGGGGTTAATTGTTGTATGTGCATACACTGTGTTGTTTACAACGTGTATGTGATGACTGCCAATTAAGACTTAATTCTTGACTGAGTTGCGTTTCTGCTTTTCTAGAGCTTCATCTGACTAGTGCTGCCATGTTTACTTCACTAGTCACTTAGTAAACCAATAGAAAACTCACAATGGTTTTGGTATCTGATTAAGTCATATAGTTGAAATCACCCATTCCAGCATATCGTTTGTGAGCACGTTCTGCTTTTCTCTGCTTTATGTTATTATAAATGAAATACTTGTGAATTGGTCTCGCCCCGGTTGCAGTACTTTTCATTCTCCCTGATCCATATGAACGTTTTATGCGTTTGTCCAGTCCAATTATAATATGCTGCCAATTTAGGGAAACGCTATCGAGATGTAACTAAAAGGAGACAGGATGTGACACTTTAAAAAATGCCTTCATTTCCTTTCAAAAGTCCAAGCTCTAGTTGAATCTACGGCGCTATGGAAATGTCTACCTGTATTACAAATATCCATCCAGTAAAGCGCTCCTGCTCCTACGAACATCAGCTAAGATGGCATTGTTCGGCCACACAGGATCTGAACCTGCCGTACCTCTATTCAATATGACAGATGTATTTCTAATGCACCGCACAAGTTCAGGAATACAGTAACACGACACCGCTGCATTTAGTTAGTGTTACACCCATTATAAGCTAATGTGTCACAGCCATAATGATAACAAGCAGCGTTTCAGTGGATGCACAAACTGAGGCTTGTTTTGTGTCTAACTGAATGCTGTTTTGTGCCTGTGAGATGTTGTCAGTTGTCTTGGCTCACACGCGAGAACGTCACTTCTTCTGCTGAGTGTATGAAATATACAAGGCTTGAAACACGGCTGACAAATAAAGCGAGTCGGAATCTGAAACACTACTGGGAGGAAATGCAAAATATTTCACTAAACTTACTGTGAGGAAGTATTAATATATGCATGTACACTTTCACTCTATGCTTTATGATTGCTATAAATTCTATATTAACAATTAATGTATAAAGGATTTATATAGATCCTGGCGTTAAGAAAATCTTTGCACCCTGATAAACCTGCTGCTTTTGTAAACATATAAAATACTGACATTTCAGGTCTTCAAATCACTAATGACAATTTCCAGTACTTGCAGGCCTTGATGTGAGTAGAAGTAGAAAGTTTTACAGTCCAACACTGTTAACTTCACTCTCTTCATCTTGCCACGAACCAACACACAGTACTAGTGAGACCGCTGCACAACCAGTTTTTAATCAGTGTGATATTCGCTCCCTCTATTTGTTGTGTTTGTAGACTGTGCAAACTGATTAACATTTCCTTCAAACTGTTGGGCCCCCCATACTGGGTAAGAACATTTTGCAGAACATAGTGGACTCCGATACTTAAGTGCTGCAGCTGTACCCATGAAATTAGTGCCAGTTAACAAACCTTCCGGGGATGCGAGCCACCATCTCTTCATTATAACGGTGCAACACATGATGAAGTGATTGCAGAAGAAACCTGACATACTCACCCACAAATGCGAGCAAATCTTTACCAGATGCCCGGCACAGGAAAGACAGCAACACAAAAAAATAATAATAAAACCATGTGAAGCTCTGCACAGCGAAACAATCATAAACAGAACAGGCGTCAGTTTTTAACAGACATCTATACATAGCGTTAATAAACGTTTTAATGCAGCTGAAGTTGTGCGCAAAAAGCCACAATGCTCCCTATTATGACACTGAAATGGACTGTAACAGCAAATACAATTCTCACTTGACTGTGCTCATATGGAAACCAGGGGCTTTAAAAACATACAGCCTTAATTCAGGGGAGTTAATCTGTTTGAAAGGAGAGCTAGGAAGTTGGAAGGCAACATCAAGGGCTGTCCAAGAGGCAATTTTCCCTCTTAAGGTCGCAAACTATTTCTTATTTTAAATGGAATTTCTTGTAGGAACAGCTGGCCAAATGTGTTCTTGCCTGTTAGTGGCCGTGAGAGGGAATGAGGACATTTGTTCAAATAGAGAGAAAGAAAGTGGGAGAGAGAAGACAGACTCCTCTTTACTTCAGCCCAGTGTTGGCGGTCTATCTGTCTTATGTTGACGTGGCAGCATGATTGCGAAGGCTATAAAGTTCTTCGCAGATGTAGTCTCTCTCCATCTCTCCTCTCTTGTTCCTGGATGTTTTCATGCTTCTCTGTATCCTCCTTTGCCCCCTCCCCACTCAACTATCCCTCCTTTTTTTTTCTTAAGTCCCTCTCCTGAAATTCCCACTAGTGTGTCGAAGTGTGTGTGTGTGTGTGTGTGTGTGCGTGTGCATGACTACTAGGCCAGTTGCCTGTATGATGTTCAGCCAACTCCTCCTAACACGCTCTCAGAATACTTCTTTGGGTTCCATGGTTGTGGATTCAAGTTGTAAAGCTCCAGAAATGAGCACATAAAATATAGCTGCGCGTGTCTAACTGTGACTGGGTCTGCCAGACCAGACGCGGAGCTAACGCAGCCGACCTGAAAGTTCCTGGAAATGTTCGTTCAGTGGAAATCACCTCAGAATGATCCTGAAGCTTCGCTGAACAGTGACAGAAGAGAGTAAGACAATCTGGTGCAAATCTGACCGAAAGCTTTTTACTGTGGAGGGAACGACACCTGAGCATTTGCCTCTCTATAAACAGCACATGTTTGTGCCGGCGTGTGTGTGTGTGTGTGTTTTATTAGTCTGTTAAACTAAGGGGTGTGACTTTGTTCTATTAGAGAGGAAGGTGAGATCGTGGAGTTACCAGCAGCAGCTTTGGATGAAGATGTGCACTGTAAAAAAAAAAAGAACTGTAAGCTGATTTCACTAAAAAATTTCCCTGCTGCTTTGAAAAAGTCACGTATCTGAACTTAGGTAAATAGTTCAAAGTGTTTAGTCTGAAGGGGTGTTTTCACCAAAGCATTCTTTCCTGAGGTCAGCATAATTGTTTCCATTGTTTGAAATAAATGGGCGCTCCGCAGATTTACGCTTTGCTAAAAATGCCAGCAGTGTGATGAGGTGTTTAGCTTTGCTGTTATTTCCCGCAAGAGCTGAAAAATGTTATTTTTGCGGTCAAACGCTACCTTCGTCACTGTCGCGTTTCACCCAGCTGTCCAATCACAGCGGAGGAAAGGCGGGACAAATGCTACGCCAGCCAACCGCTGTCTGCTTGTATAAGTGTTGAACAACAAATGCAGAGGGGATGATAATATCGCTGGTTTCTGTATATCCATGTCTGTACTCGATGACATTCCTGGATTACCACAATGTTAATTTGAAAAATATTGCCCGGCGGAACATTTCATTTGCCATGGATTTACCAGGAGTCAGCTACGTCAGCCGCTTGATTGGTACTTGCAATTACTTCCACAGATATTCTGCAACCACAGCATGCGAGCTCAAAAAAAATGCAGCACTTTCTAGCTGGGTGTTTTTTCAGAAGAGCGCCTGATGGACACTTGCTGTGAAACCAGTCTATGTAACCTCACTGAAACATATTAAAGCTACGTGCATAAAAGGCAGTTCTTTATTTGCTCCTAAGGTTTTACAGCTGTGACTGCAGAAATTCCAAAATGGTCTGGAGATATTTTAATTGAATCTCACTAAAACTTAGTTGATGTAGCCAAGATTTTTAGTTGTCGGATGTTTTTACAGTGTTTGCATGTGTTTTAAGGCCTTTTCTTGCGAGAGCAGAGTGACCAGGTGGCATCCCGACCATATGTGAAATGTATTACCCAGAGTCACCTGTT